CCAAAATAAAAACAAATCTGTGCTGCAGGGGCGTGCTGGCTGTGCCCGAGCCGGGCAGGGATGCTGGGCTGTGCAGGCTGCAGGATTTCTCTCTCTGTCCTTTGTTCTCCTCACAAAGCAGCCGGGGCTCTGCCCCTTCCCACACCGCTGGAGCACCCCAGCAGCCAGTGGTCACAGCTGCTGGGATTTCCCTGTGTCTCTCCCGGGAATGGGGTTTTCCCTCGTGTTTTCCAGTGGATGGAGGAGCCCCCACAAAGGCCCAGTTCCTTCCCATCCTTGGGGATTTGATCTGACAGTTTCTGCAGTGCCTGGTTCCACTCTTTGCCCGTGTCTGTTCCTAACAAACTTTTGGTGTCTCTTGAGCCACCCTGGTCTCTGGAGTTTGCTGGGTGTGAGGCTCCAGGCTGCCATGGATTGTCATCCCAGCTGTGCCACTGCCTGTCCTGTGTCATCCTGGGCCATTTCATCCCAAATCCAGTGTCCTCAGAGCTCCCACATCTCCTGTCATCAGACAAAATACATTTTGAGTGTTCCAGTGCCTCTGTCCATGCTGGTCCTGCATCCCTGTGCTTCCCTGGGGGCTGCAGCAGCTGACACAGCTGGACACTTGTCCTTATTTGGGACCAGGATGTGCAGGAGCAAACCCTGGGATGTCCCCCAGGCTGCTGGATGTGCTAAAAGTGATTCCCAGGTCGGGATCCTGGTGCCAGGTTCAGCAGACCCTTTATTCTCCTCCCTGTCATGCCCAGTTCCCCCAGTCTGGCTCTGATTGTTCCCAGTGAGGCTCCCAGCCCAGCTGGGCTCTGCAGACACCATCACACCAACAGCTGGGCTGGAATCTCGCTTAGCCAAGGGGATCTCGGTGTTCATCTTGGAACCTCATCCCCAGAGGGTTCTCTTTTTTTATTTCTTTGTTCTTGAGCAGAAAAGACCATTTCCATCAATTTTATATTGCATGTACCCATTTGGGTTGGAAGGGAGTGTAAGGACCACCCAGTGCCACCCCTGCCATGGCAGGGACGCCTGCCACTGTCCCAGTGTCCAGCCTGCCCTGGGGCATTGCAGGATCCAGGCATTGCAGCGCCTCAGGAGTGTTCAGGCATTGGCTCTTTCCTCTTGGGGCGATGCTGGGCTCACCAACTCATCCCAAATGCCCTTGGCTTCGGGCAGGTTGAGCCAGGCTGGGATGGTGCCCATGGAAGGGGGCACAGGCTGCCCGGTGCCAAGCTCCAGCCTTGGGCATCTGCCCCCAGGACCACAGGAGAGCTCCCTGGCTTTGTTCCCTGCAGTGATTTATCACACCAGGGACACTGCCCTCCAGGATTCACCACAGCACACGTGGGGTTTCATTTTTGCCAAGTCAATTTGCTCTGTTTTTATTGATTTCACCTTGGGAAAGGCCAGGTGTGGGCCTGGCAGCCAAGGCAGGTTGGTGTCCGTGTGTCCATGGGGAAGGAACCACGGACAAGGTGTCACAACAGGAGATGTGGCCAGAAAATGGGGTGGGTTTATTTTATTTGAAGCCTTTTTTTTTTTTTTTTTGCTATTGAAGTAATTTTGTCTTACTGAAAGCAAAAGTGAATAATTGGAATGATAATTGCAGGCTATTAATTGCATGCCCAGGAAGTCATTGATGGGGACAGTTAATGTCCACAGGATCCCAGAATATCCCGGCTTGGAAGGGATCCACCAGGATCATGGAAGTGCAGCTCCAAACCAGCTTTGTGTGTAAATGCTGACCTTCAGTCCTCACCCATCTGATCTGCGTTTATAGAAAATCCTTGTTAGTGTTTCCAATAATCCCTACGGTGTATTTAATATTTGGCATGACAGTAAACACCCCAAAACAAAGTTGGTTTTCTTATTTGAATGAAAGTTATAAATAGAAAGTTTAACACAGGTTCCGTAAAGAACGTTATCAGAAGTACAGTTCTCTTTCTTCTCCTGTTTTTTTTCCTTTAAAGAGAATAACGGCAATAATCTACTTCATCCTGGCCTAAAAGGCTTTTAAACCCGCTCATTTTCCCCCCAGAGCCAAAGCAGAAGCATTGGAAGGGAAATCACCATTCTAACCTGAGTTTCTTTGTCTCCCCGCTGCTGTCCCAGGAGCGCCCTCCCTTCCCGCCGGGATGGAGATGTTCTCGCTGAATTCCCTCAAAGGTAGGAGCTGCCACGGCCCCGGGGTTCCTGTGCTCCAGGGGAGATGGAGCAGGGCGCTGAGGAGGAGGAGGAGGAGGAGTTCTTGGTGTGAGGAGGGGGCTCAGCTGTCTCCTGGGGAATGCAGCACCGAGGGGACAGGGCAGGATTGCAGGGAGGAGCCCTGCACTGTTATCCACAGACACTGGACATTGTTTGCTGTTCAGCCTCAAGTACAGGCTTTTCCCGTTTTAATTTCCCTCCTAAATATTCCTGTATCCCTCAGTACCAGCTCCATGGGCTCTTTGTCCTTGGGATTTGATCCTGTTGCTGTCACCGTGGCTCCTTTCCCTGCCATTGCTTTGCCAGCTTTCCTTTCTATCATATTTTGTCCTCAGAAATCCCTCCAGTCCCTGTTTCCTGTTTTGTGGATCTTTCCTGAGCTCTTGGTCTTAGTGGATAGAATGGACTAAAATATTCCAGCTCTGTTTGGGGCAGAGGGACCCTCCCTCCATCCCAGGGAATTCATCCTGGCACTCAGGGAACCCAGCAGTGACCCACCACTCCTGTCACTGCCCTGCTCTCAGCCACCAGCACTGGGATTTAGCTGAATTTAAACTAAAAATCCCAGAATTCTTCCCAGTCTGGGGCAGGAATTGTGTACAAAGTCACCTCAGCTGGGAGCAAAGCCCCTCTGCTCCCCCAAATCCTGCCAGGAGGGTTGGAAGGAGGTTTTCCAGCTTTTNGCTGGGAAGGCACCCTCTGCCTGCCCCCCATCCTCCCCTCTGAGCCAGTGCTGGAAGTCACCTCTGGATGGGACTGCACAGCAATTGGAAGTTTAATTCCTCTTTATTTAATTCCTCTTCTTTTTTTTGTTCCAGATTCCAGAGATTTACTAAAGGAATTTCCACAGCCTAAAAACTTGCTCAACAGCGTGATTGGCCGAGCCCTGGGCATTTCCCATGCCAGGGACAAGCTGGTGTACATCCACACTAACGGGCCAAGGAAAAAGGTAATCCTTGCTGCTGGGAGGGTGGGAAGGGAGCCATGGAACTGCTAATCCTGGAAGTAACTTCCCAGAGAGAATCATAGCAGAGTTTTAGTTCCACTTAAAAGTTTGTGATAATCTTTCAAACAAGAAATGTTCTTACTTCATCCTATTTTTCCTGATCTTCATGTGCCTTAAAGGTGTATAAGTACAGGTGCTGTTCCTCTTTTTGTGTGGATATTTTTATTTTAAGTGACTTGCTGTATCTGGCCTTTCTCAGCAGAAGGACACACAGTCTGTGCTTGAAGGTGTCCTACTACCTTAGAAAATTAAGATTTAAAAGCTGTATTTCAGCCCTTAGGCCCCTTAGATTTGATTGTAAATTCCAATAGAACAAATTCCGAAGCCTCAAGTCCGTTTGGGAGCAGAAAAGAGGAGTTTCTTTGCAATGGAGGGAGGCTTGTAATAGTACTTAAGAGCAGAATGAAATGCAGCCTCTTTGTTTGGTCAGTGAAGCAGAGGAATTCCAAGCAAATTCCAAGTTCTCAGGTAGTTTCAGCTGTCACTGTCAGTGGAATTCCTGAGGCCCAAATCTGGGTCTGGGCTATGAACTGAGCAGGAATTCTTACTAATGGTGCTCCATGGTCAAGGCTGTGCCTCCTCCTGTCACAGCAGCTCATTCCAGAGCTGAAAGCCCTTTCCAGCTGAAGTTTAACTGTAACCTACATTCCAGGAAAAGACTCACTTCTGATGGCTTAACATTTTCCAATAACATTCTGTCTAAAATTTCCCAGACAGTTTTTATTGCCACATCCTTTTTAAGCATCCCTGGATTTTAGGGGATACATTAATAATGTTAATTCGGAGTTCTTCATTATTTCTGTTTGTTTTTCTTGCTCTTTCTCAAGCTGTAGTGCAATTTCCCAACCTAAATTTTGGAATACCATAGCCAGTGCCTCCTCCCTAAAATTTGGAGTACCCCAGGCAGTGCCTCATCACTTTAGTTTGTGTAATTGGTTCCCATTCTTGCCAGCACTTAAATAGATTAATGTGGAGAGTAACTTCAGATTAAAACAAAAAACTAAACCAGGAAAATGATAAAGGAGATAAAGGAGCCTTGGGAAAAAATGAGGGTTGGCTCACAAAGAAAAAGCAACCCAGCAAATGCAGACAGAAGGACAGGTGAGAGCCTGGAGAGCTCTTGTTGGATGTGAACAGGGGTTTGTGAGCACTTGGCCTTCCTGAGACACCTTTTTTCCCAGCAGGTCTGTGCCTTCCAGGCTGTGCCTGAGGCCAAACCCACAGCAATTCCCTCTGTGAGCCAGGTTCGGGGGCAGGAGGGCAGCCAGCCAGGTGCTGGGGAGTCAGGAGCCTTGGGGGATCCACTGCTGCCTTTCATCTGGGCTGCACAAGCAGGAGAGAATTCCCTGGGCATTTCCCTCTTGGAGCCTCTGGCATCTGCAGGGCTGGGAGCTGAGCGAGCTCTTGATTTGGAGCAGGGCAAAGTTCAGCTCTCAGCATTGTCTGCCTCTGCAGGTTTTTAGTGCTCCCTTGCAGGAGCTGTGGTTCTGCCAGGGCTGGTGGAGCTGGGTGCTCCTGTGGGTGCTCCTGGGGGCTGAGGCACTCCTGTGCTGCTTCAGTCACAGGGAGGAGGCAGCTGGAAGGGGCTGGAGAGGGGCTCTGCTCCAGGGCACGCTCTGGCTGCTGCAGTGAGCAGAGGGACAGCCCTGGGATGGAATTGTTCTCTAGTGTGCTCCTGGTGTTTATCCCTGGGAGTGATAAATGGTGTGATAAATGTCACAGCACCCTGTGACACCACAGCCCTGCAGCTCCTGTGGGGCTGTGGCACCCCTGTGCCCTGCTCAGCCTTTTCCTGCAGGGCTCCTGCAGTGCAGCTTCCCCTGAAGGGACCAAGGCAGTGCTTTGTTCAGTGTTCTTCTGTATTTCCCTTCTTTGCCTGAGGTGCAGAGATGGTTGGTTCCCCTGAAGGGACCAGGACAGCGCTTTGTTCAGTGTTCCTCTCTTTGCCTGGGGTGCAGAGATGGGTGGAGTGGGTGTGCTCTGCTGGAGGGGAGAGCTTGCCCAGCTCACCCTGTGGCTCTCCTTGCCTTTCAGAAAGTCACTCTCCATATAAAGTGGCCCAAGAATGTGGAAGTGGAGGGCTATGGGACCAAGAAGATCGACGCGGAGCGGCAGGCGGCGGCTGCAGCGTGCCAGCTCTTCAAGGTGAGCCCTGCTGCTGCTGCTGCCCTGCTGGCCAGGCTCACCCTGCACTGTGCAGCCAGCCTGGCTGCTGGTGGGAGCCTTCTCTTGGCCTGGGCACCCCCTTAGTGGGCCCCTCTGGTAGTCAGGGGTAGAGGGTCAAGACCTGAGTCTGCATCCATTTGAGCTTAAAATCCCACTTGCTGCCGGTAGTCCTGGTCCTTGTTCCTTTTGTCCTGGACCTTAATCAGCTCCTTAACATCTGCAGCGAGCAGTTTCCCTCAGGTGGTCACTAACTCCCACTTCTGCCAGCACAGCTGGGTGTGTTTGCAGGTGTAGGACCTTCAGAACCTCCCGTTTCCTCTTCATTAAAGCCAGTGTAGCAATTACATGTAGTAATTTACTATTACTCTACAGTTACGCTTTGTTTGGCACTTATTTATGGCTGGAAATGGGTGTGTGCAGCCAGTATCAAACAGACACAGTAAAACTATAAAGGTCACTCTTGAAGGTGTTTTATAGCTGAGAAAAAGATGCAGTTTTATCTCCAGCTCTGCCCCTGGTGGTTCTGTGTTACCTTGAGCGAGCCAGACTGATTTTGGAGTTTCCTGTTAATCTGTTCAGTGGGAACAGGGATATCTCTGTGCTCAGGAGAGGATGCTGTGGATGCTCTGGCAGTGAGACAGCTTTTGATTTGCTTGTGGATCAGAATGCTCTTTAAGGAAATAGCCAGCCTTCAGAAATTCAGGAGGGCAGTGTGAAAACTCAGCTTCTTCAGCTGCTTAAGCTGATCCTCTAATTCTGTGGTCAGCAAAACTTGTCTCACTCACTGACTTCATTCCACCTCACTCAGTCAGCATTCACTGGGAATATATCCTCATTTTATCCTCTGTACTCCAGTTCCCTGCTTTCTTTCTGGGAAGTTTTCAAAGGAAGGAAAATACCCTACTGATACATTTTCCCTGAATTTTGGAAACGGCTGAAGTGCATTTTAAAACTTAAACCAAAACCCAGCCACCTAAAACCACAGATTGAATATGCAAAGCTTTCTTTGCCAGCTAAACTGGAACCTGGCTGAAGACCTTTGTGATGAGAGGCCTTGTGTGATCATAGCTATAGAAAGAGCTACAAATGTTGCCTTAAAAAGTCATCAATTCAAGAAAATTAATAGTGTCTAATTAGTGCAGAGAGTGAATAGAGAGGCTTTGACTAGAACAGCGAGCCAGGTGAAATTTGATGTCTTAGGCACTCTCACAGCACAAAATAATGCAGCTTTTTCTAATACAGGGCCATTAAATGGCCTAAAACTGTAACTTTTAATTATTAAAATTAAAGCTAGAACTTATTGCAGCAGTCTGGTAATTTTGAAATGGTGTGTGCTGCACTCTGGATATGTCTGGAGCTTCCTGCGAGGTTCAGTCCTGAATGGTGATGGTAGGAAAGTTTTTCATTACTGCAGGTTTGCTCCAGAACCTGGCAGGTTAGGGACGTTTTCCTGCTGCTTGCACAAATAACTGTTCCTGGGAAATGGAAGGGGATGAACCATTCCCTGAATTCTCAGCCTGTATTATCCCAGATTATGCTAGTTCAGACTAGCCTTCCCAAAAAGATGCATTTCCTGCTGTGAGGGTGCTAAATACAGTCAGGGTTTACTGGGGTTTTACATTCTAAGGAGCTGTGTGGGGCTGGGAGCCATACCCTGGGAAGGGAGGGAGGGAGGGAGGGCAGGGAGCAGATTCCCTTGGGACAGAGCAGCGGTGGGGGAAGCTCAGATCTCCCGCAGGTGCCTTTCCTCACTCTGTCTTTGCCGGGGGAAGGATGGGGCCGCTCCTGCCCCGTCCCCAGCAGGGTTGGCTGGGCTCCCAGAGCTGCCCTGTCTCCCTGCAGGGCTGGGGCTTGCTGGGCCCTCGGAACGAGCTCTTTGATGCAGCCAAGTACCGGCTGCTGGCCGAGCAGCTGGGCTGTCCCGACGAGCGCTGGTGCTCCGAGGGCAAGTGGCGCTCCAAGTCCGGGCCCTCCCTCGCCGACCTGTCCACCTGCTGGCGCCGCATGGAGCCCGACGACGCCATCCAGCCCATGGAGCAGGGCAGGATGCCCAAAGCCATGAGGAGGGAGGAGCTGGAGGAAGGGGAGCTGGAGGAGGGGGAGCTGGAGGAGGGGGAGCTGGAGGAGGAGGCCATCGATGTCTCGGACTACCTGCCCATGGCGCACCAGGACGCCCGCACCCCCGGCAGGGACGCCAGGTGGGTCTGCTGGGAGTGCTGAGCCAGGGCAGGGGAAGGGAGCGTTTTCCTGGGGCTGGGGAGGGCTGGAGGTGGGCCAAAGGAATAGTGGGGCAGCCTGGTCTGGTACCTGGCTGCCATCCAGGGAATGCACAGACTTGTTCCCTGCAGCTCTGCCCTCTGGAGACACTGCTGCCAGTCCTGTTACCTGCCTGATTCTTCTGTGCCTCAAGGCATTTCCATCCCCAGAAGTGGTGCATGTGCACTTACACCAGGTTTTGACCACCCTGGTTTTGAGGGCAATGTTAAATCCGTTCCCTTCCATCCCCATAGCTGCCTGCTTGACTTTATGAGCACAGATCTTGGATTTTTAATAGGCAGCAGCAGCAAGATCTGTAAGAGATATGGGTGATGGTGGTTATTTCTGTGATGTGATTTTAAATTCAGAATTATTTATTAATTACATCTGTTTCAATCTGTTGTTGCCATCTGGTTTGTAGCCTTGGTGTAAAGGTTTGATCTTTCTGCAGTAGGTGGCTTTGCTGGTCTGGGTGGTTGTGACTGACAGATTTTAGTACCGAGGTACAGCAGGACTCTGCCCATGACCAGAATTACCTGGGCTTTAACAGAATAGTTTCAGAGCTCAGTAGCACTCGTGCAGTGAGGCAGGTCTGAGCACAGGTGGGCATTGGCACATCCAGCTCTGCTCTTGTCCCGTGCAGCCGAGGAGGGAGCTCCATTGAAATGACAGACGACAACACTGCCATCCGTGCCCTGACGCAGTTCCCACTTCCCAAAAACCTCCTGGCCCAAGTGATTCAGATTGCAACCTCTTCCTCCACAGTCAAGGTAAGGTGCTGTCTGACCCCTGCCAGGGAGGAAGCTCAGGGGCTCCAACTGGAATCACTTTGGGTGCTTTCTTTGGGCAACAGAGCTGGGGAGAGGAGGGAAGTTAAAACTGGGCCTAAAGAAATCAGTGTGAACAGCAAAGGAAAGACTTTGTGGTGAGAGCTGAGGGAATGTCTTAACAGAACCATGAGGAATGGTGCTCCTGAGGCCAGGGCAGTGGAGGAGCTGCTTTCTAAGGTTTCCTTTCCCCATATACCTGCAACAAGCACAAGTTTGTGTTGCTGGGAGCGGTGTGTAACTTCTGTGCTGATAGAATCTTTCCACAGCTCCGTTCCTGCCCGTATCCGGTGATCCTCCTTCCCAGGATGTGTCACCCACCTCCCAGAGCTCGTGTGCTCAGCAGAAAGGAGCTGAGCTCCACCCTGAGGCTCTCAGGATCTTTCCCACAGTTGTCTGCTCTGACTTTGGCTTAGACAGTGCCTTGTGAGCTGGGAGGTGGAGTTCAGTGCAGTAACCTTCTTCTAGTGCTCCATTAAAAAAAAATCCAACAAGTCCAGCAAAAAAACCCATGGTGAAAGGTCAGAGGGGCCACATGAAGGTGGCTGAGGTCAGCTGGAGTTGGTTCAGCTGGAGCAGAGCAGACTGAGGGCAGAGCTCAGCAGGGCTGCAGCTCCTCCTGAGGGACAGCTCCAGTCTCTGCTCCCTGTGACAGGGACAGGAGCCAGGGAACAGCTGGAGCTGGGCCAGGGCAGGGTTTGGGTTGGAGATCAGGGAAGGGTCTTCCCCAGAGGGCACTGGGCACTGCCCAGGCTCCCCAGGGAATGGGCACAGCCCCAAGGCTGCCAGAGCTCCAGGAGCGTTTGGACACTGCTCCCAGGCACAGAGGGGGCTGTTGGGGTGTCTGTGCAGGGCCTGGGCGGGGCTGGCTGGTCCCTGTGCCCCACAGAGCCCCTGCTGTTCCTGCAGGAGTACATGCAGTTCCGCACGGTGGGCACCAAGACCAAGATCTGCAAGCTGACGCTGCGCTGGCCCTGCCCCATGACCTTCGCTGCCAAGGGCCGGCGCAAGGTGGAGGCTGAGAACAAGGCAGCGGCTCTGGCCTGCCAGAAGCTGAAGGTGAGTGCCCCTGGCTGCTGATCCCTGGGATGTGCCTCTGGACACAGGCTCCTTCTGCCTCACTCGCTGCCTTTGAGCCTGCCAGGGGATGCTGGAAACGTCCTGAGCTTTGGCTTGTGTAAGGGGCTAATGCTTAATGAACATCTGTTTGCAAACCTTGGGATTCACAGCATGCCAGAACCACAGCAAGGACTCAACAAGAGGGTTGGCTGTCATGGCTGCTGTTCTTCTGATGGGTCTGTTTGAGACCTTGCAGGTGTAGTATCAGGACAGGTGGTTGGTTCTGGTGTGTCTGGTCCTCCAGAGCTGGGGTCATGTCTGGTTTCTTGCTGTGGCAAGAAAAGCAGGAATTGGTGGGTTTGGGATGGTAGGGAGTTGGCCTATCCAAACATGGGATCGAGGTGCTCTGTATCCCCGCCCGTGGTGTGAGCAGCCTCAGACCTGATGGTGTTGTTTGCCTGTTCCCTGCAGAGCCTTGGCCTGGTGGACAAGAACAACAACCCCCTGAGCCATGCCATGTACAACATGACTTCCCTGAGGGAGCTGGGGGAGAACCAGAGGAAGCCCTGCCACATCAAAGTCCCTGAGGCCACCCTGCGCAAGATCGAGAACTACCTGAACCACGTAAGGCTCAGCCCCTGAGGATCCCCTGGGCCTGATCCCTTCTCACTTGGGGAATTGGATGTGTCTGACAGCTTCCTGTCGGAATGTTGGAATTCATGGTTTGATTGTTGCCACAAAACCTGACCACTCTCTGCTGCCCTTTGGGGAGGGAACTCTTTCTGGGCAGTGGCCTTCCCTTTTGGAAGACTGGGATTCTTAAGGTTGAATCCAAAAGATGTGATTGATTAGAAGTTCAGCAACTCTCATCCCATGAACATCTGGGCCAATGCTTTGATTTGTGTTCTAGGCAATTCCTGACCTCTTGCTCCTTGTAGTTCTTCCTGTGGGATGTGGACTTCAGTTTTTTCTTTTGCCAAGATGCAATGTTTCCGGCTTAGCCAAAAGCTTGTGTTTTGCATAAGTTATGTGTCTGGGTGATAGTTTCCAAAAGTTGTCTTTGAAGGGCTGTTGCATTGCAGAGCTGAAGTTACTGGTCTGTGCCTGTCAGTTCAGGCAGCAGCACTAATACCCCTCCTGAAATAGGGAATGCAGCAAGGGGCAGCCCAAATTAGTTCTCACTTTAAATAACCTCAGTTCAGAACAACACTGAGTTACCTAAGATCTGGGGAGACCTTGGCAGAGCCTTGGCCTGGCCAGACTGGCTGAGTCTGTCGCAGGCACTTGTTCCTTTCTGTCCTTCTCAGGACCAGCACTAACCTTGCTGTCCTCGCCTGCTTCCTCCCCCAGTACCCCGTGGACATCAGGGAGTCCAGGCCCCGCATTGCCGACGACATGATGAACCTGACCAAGGAGTCCGGTGCCATCAGCGACGCCATCACGGGGAAGACCTACATCCCCATGCTGGAGGCAGAGGAAGTGCGCCTTAGCCAGAACCTGCTGGCCCTCTGGAAAAGGAGAGGAGCCTCCTGGCAGGAGAGCCACCCGCTGCCGGTCGACCCGCACAAGGACACCATCCTGTCAGCCATCGAGCAGAACCCCGTGGTGGTGATCGCGGGGGACACGGGCTGCGGGAAGACCACGCGGATCCCGCAGCTGCTGCTGGAGCACTACATCCTGGAGGGCCGCGGCGCGCGCTGCAACGTGGTCATCACGCAGCCGCGCCGCATCAGCGCCATCTCGGTGGCGCAGCGCGTGGCGCAGGAGCTGGGGCCCAACATGAGGAAGAACGTGGGCTACCAGGTGCGGCTGGAGAGCAAGCCCCCTGCCCGGGGAGGCGCCCTGCTCTTCTGCACCGTGGGCATCCTGCTCAGGAAGCTGCAGGGCAACCCCAGCCTGGAGGGCGTCAGCCACGTGGTGGTGGACGAGGTGCACGAGCGGGACGTGAACACGGATTTCCTGCTCATCCTGCTCAAAGGCATCCAGAAGCTGAACCCCGACCTGCGCCTGGTGCTCATGAGCGCCACGGGCGACAACCAGCGCTTCTCGCACTACTTTGGGGACTGCCCCGTGGTCAAGGTGCCGGGCTTCATGTACCCGGTGAAGGAATACTACCTGGAGGAGATCCTGGCCAAGCTGGGCCGGCACCGGCACCGGCACTATGAGATCAAGGTGGGTGTGCAGCGAGGGGGGGCTGTCCCCATGGTGGGGCACCGGCTGCTGGCCTGTCAGCAGGGGGACAGGCCGGGCCTGGGGCTGCTCCTGGTTCCCTGTGGCTGTTGGACATGTGCTTAGCTTTAACTCCATGCCAGTCCTCCTGAGGTGAAGTCAGCTTAGTAGAACCCCAGAGTATTTTAATTAAGTTATGCATAAAGATGACTTTGCATTGGGGTCAAGTTGCTTTTGTCTCACTTTAATGGGAAGTTTGATGTTTGAGTAGGCTGAGAGCTCACTGCTGTGTGTACATAGCCACAGAGTTGAGTGTTTGCACACCCTAGGCAAGCCTGGCCCACGACTGGGATGGTTGTGGCTTCCAGCGCTGTTACCTCAGTGCTCACCGTCCTGCATGACTGAATTCCCTGATTGCTGCTTTCTGCAGCTGCTCTGGCCCTCTGGAAAATGCCCTCCAGACATGTGCAGTGCTCTGGCTAATCCTACACCAGTGATGGGTCATGGAGTCACACAGTCAGAGGTTGGCCAGCATCTCCAGACGTTTTCTGGTCCAACCAGCTGGTCTGGAGTTTGTCAGCTCATTTTTCCAGCCTGGAGAGATCCCTCCCTGTGGCTGAGCAAGTGTCTGGAGTATCAGCCACTTCTCCCAGTCCTGGATCGTCAGCAAACTTGCTTGGGGTATCCCATTGCCTCCAGGGCATTCTTCCTGTTTCTGTTGTGGCAGGGATTTTATCTGAGCTTTAATAGTCTGTTCCAAATTCCTGGGAGCTGCAGAAGCTGCTGCTCAGAGCCTGACGCATTTGAACTCCCAGGTGCATGTGGCAGTTTTGTCCACAAAAATCTCGTGGCAGTTCTGTTACTTGTGAGTGCTGTTCAGCAGAGGTGCAGAGATCTGGACATTGGGAAGGGACTGTGCATTCTCTCTGCACAGCAGGGAAACTGGCAGCCCTTGTGACCAGAGCAGGCTGCAGATGGAGCCCAGAGCAGGCTTCTGGCTCCAGTCCTGGGCAGGCTGTCCAGGGGAGGCGTTGGTGCCTGCAGAGGGTGCTTTGAGTGCCCCTGAGCTGTGCTGACACCCCCTGAGCCCTGTGCTGTCCTCCCCAGCAATCGGACGATGAGTGTGTCCTGGACCTTGACCTGATCACCGACCTCGTGCTGCAGATCGATGCCCACGGAGAGCCAGGTGGGTCCTGCCTCGCCCTGAGCTCTTCCTCTGCTGGGGGGTGGGAAGGGAGCCCCTGCAGAGCCTTTGCAGAGACACCACGATGCTGAGCCTCTCCTGCAAGGGCTCCTTGAATTCCTGCTGCTCCAAGTGGTCTCGAGCCATGTGGCATAAGCAAATTGTGAATCTTTAGATAAGACAGGGTTATAGGAAATCAGACAAAAGGGAGTAATGACAAGGAGGACTTTATTGATATCAGAAGGTTAATTAATGACTCTGTTATATTAATTAATTACTTTATTATTTTATACTGTATTACACTGAATCTGTGTAAGTATTTAACTCTACTGACTAGAATTTTGTGACTGTCTCTTGACCAACAGTCTGGACATGCACTTGGCCCTGATAGGCCAAGGAAACAATACACTATCACTTTGGGTAAACAATCTCTATATTGCATTCTGCTTTGGCACAACACAGGTGCAGTAAATGAGATAAGAATTGGTTTCTCTTTCTCTGAAGTTCCTCGCTGTGATTCCTAGGAAATATCCTTAAGAAGTTGTGCCTTGCTTTTCTCTGTAACGAGAAATATGGCTCCGCAGGGTTGGACTCGTCAGTGTCCTGGGCAGCTGTCCCAAGCTGTGCTCCAGCACTGGGAGCCTTGTGCTGCATAATTACCTTTTCTGTTGGAGCCCCATCCCTGTCAAATACCCTTGCCTGGATGTGATGTGTTTGGGGAGGAGGCAGGACTCTCAGGTGACTTCAAGAGATTTAAGTGTTTCAAAGCTCATGGTATTCACCGTCAGACTCCAGGCAGCCTGGTAGCTTTCTGCCCCAGGAATGTGTGTCCCCAGCTGGGGCAGAGCATTTGGCTTTAGAGGCTGTGTGTTCTCAGCTGCTGTGTGTTGCAGGTGGGATCCTGTGCTTCCTCCCTGGCTGGCAGGAGATCAAAGGGGTGCAGCAGCGGCTGCTGGAGATGCTGGGCTCGCAGAACAGCCGCTACCTCGTCTTGCCAGGTGAGAGGGCAGGGCCAGCCCCTTCTTCCCAGGGTTCGGGACAGTCCGGGGCACTTGGCTTCATGTGCCCCTGCAGCTTTGCTCTGCTGCAGGGCTGGTGAGCTTTGATGTCCCAGCTGTGTGATGTGTGTGGTAAGTGTGAGTAACTCCTCCTAGCACAGGCTGAGTAACTCCTGCGTATGATCAAAGAGAGTGGCTTACCCTTTGCCTCCAGCAATTTGGAATTAGGCAAGGGGCAAGCAGCTCAGCTCTGCACTGCTGTAGCTGCACGCTGAGCCTGCCCAGGAAAGATCTCAGGACCTGTTCCGTGGGATGCAGGTGGACTCTGGAGCTGAGCTTTGATCAGTGAATTTAACATTCCTTGCCCCGGGAGGAAATGTACAACAAAAGCCAGCTTTGCTCTGCAAAGCTCTTAAGGGTTTTGGTTTTTTTTGGGGTTTTTTTGGGCAGCTCTGCCTATTCAGTGTCAAACCAGACCTGGCAGGAGCAGAGCTTGGAGCAGCTGGGCTGTTGATGAATGCAGGTGTAGTTTGGTGGAAGGTGTCTGCTCTCCTCTGCCCTGCCGTGCTCTGCCAGGAATTCCTGTGTGGTGCTGAGCTGTGGCAGGGAAAGCTGGGATACAGGACAGCCATGGGCCCTCCATGAGAACCCCTTCTGACAGAGTGAGAATCCCTGCCCCAAGGGATTTGAGGAGGGGCAGCTGCAGAACTGGGCTGTGGGAGGCAGTGGGATTTCTGCCAGGGATATTCCTGGGGTGCCACCAGGCTCTGGGACAGGAGGTGAGCAGAGCTCCTGCTGTGCTGAGCACAGGTTGAAGCTACTGAAGTGAGGCCTTCCCAAATGACTTGTGGGAAGTTTTTCCTGGGGTCTGGCTGGCAGGAAGCTGCTGGCTGTGCCCACTGGCAGCTGGTGTCCCCATTTCTGAGAGAGGTGACAGTACAAGGAGAGGCTCAGCTGGGCAGGTGTGACTGTGGTTTGCTTTCCCAGTGCACTCCAACATCCCCATGATGGACCAGCAGAACATCTTCCAGAGGCCTCCCCCGGGTGTCAGGAAGATCGTCCTGGCCACCAACATCGCCGAGACCTCCATCACCATCAACGACATCGTGCACGTGGTGGACAGCGGCACGCACAAGGAGGAGCGCTACGACCTCAAGACCAAGGTACTGCTGCCGTGCTGCTCTGACCCACCTGGGGCTCTCTGAGCACAGGGCTGTGCTCAGAACAGTGTCTGAGGTGCCAGTAATGGCATGATGGAGCTGCTTCCCTTTTGGCCCCTGGGGCACAGGCGTGGTGTTGTTTGGGGAGAGTGTTTGACTCCTCCTCAGTGTTTGCTGTGTCCCAGCTCTGGGCCAGGCTCCCCATCAAATTCTGAGTTTTTTCCAACAAATTTAAGGCAAATCCTACTCCCTTTCCAACTACTATAGAACACTGTAGCTTCTCTGTTTGCTTTCAGCCTTTTTCTATGATTTCATCAAAACCTCTTGCTGGCCCTCACAGGGCAGCCCTGACTTGTTAGATCCTGCTCTTGTTTCCAGCTCTCCTGGCCCAATCCCTGTTCCTCAGCTTTTCGAGGGGGATCTGCTGCCCCCTGGCCTGTTCCTGGCAGTGCTGGGCCCTGAGCCTGGGAAGGCTCTTGTTTGTACACTTTGGCAGCAAAGTGAAGGCAACTGTGCTGCTGTTGCTGTTGGGAAAAGGAATTGTGGCAACATCCCTCTGCCCCTGTTCTAGAACATCATCTCCCAGGGCTGTTTGCACCTTGGAGCAGTTCTGGTTTAAACCCAGCCCTTTGGTATTTGCCCAGTTTTATCCCAGTTCAGAATGCAGACCCTGAGGCAGGGCTGGGATGGGATGGGATGGGATGGGATGGGATGGGATGGGACAGGGACAAGTGTCCAGCAGGTGGCATCTGGGTCCCATCCATGCAGCCCAGAGCTGCTGCTGGACAGAGACCGGCACTGCACGAGGCAGGAGAGTGGGAAAGGCTTCCCTGGCCCTTTGGGACCATTCTCAGTCTGAGTTCTCTTGGCTGGGTGGAAAGATGGCAAAGGGAGGGACTTTGGGTATGGGCCTGGAGTGACAGGACAAGAGGGAACGGCTTCCACTGCCAGAGGGCAGGGCTAGATGGGCTACTGGGAAGGAATCCTTGGCTGTGAGGGTGGGGAGGGGCTGGAATGGAATTCCAGAGCAGCTGTGGCTGCCCCTGGGTCCCTGGCAGTGCCCAAGGCCAGGCTGGACAGGGCTGGGAGCAGCCTGGGGCCGTGGGAGGTGTC